TAATTATTTATTCAGAATTTATATATATTCTACATAACTTTAAACCCTATTCTGTAGTCCACACAGCCTATCACTCTATTGTAATGCTAAATCTTCAACATATAGAAAAATGTAAGAGGAAGTCAAAAGAAGTATAACTGTTAAACATGAAATTTTGCAGTAATCAAAAGAACTGTATATAGAGAAAGATCCATATGACATATGGGAGAAAGATGGACATGAAAAGATACCTAGAATTACCTGCATTTCAGGCTTCCAGATTACACCAAAGTCCTTAAACAAGTAACTCAAAGGCTCCAATTCTTTCCAAATTCTCTGGAATGGCTTGGAATGTATCACATTAATATTCTTCCTGGTATCTGATCAATCAACCAATATTTACTGAGCATCTTCCCAAATGTACTTGTTAGCAACACAAAATTCCAGCCTTCCTCAAGTTTGTGTTTTTAAGGGACAAACAGTAACACCAACTAAGCTACAATATGGCATAATATAATGTCAAGTAATAGGACTCTGCAAAAAACGAGAGCAGGAATAGCAGAGCTAGAGAATAATGGATACACACACAAAAATAAAGAAAATACTGGACGCAGGCTTATTTTAGATGAATGGCCAGGATGACTTCTCTGAGAAGGAGTCATTATTTAAACAAAAGGAAACAGCTCTCAAAGAAGTGATAAGAAGGTATTCCCAGAAAATAGAATGCAAAGCCTGAGGAAGGGGTGAGCTTTTCAGGTTAAAGTAAAAGTAAGAGCATGATATATAAGTAAAGGAGATGTCACGAGAGGTGAGAAAGAGGAAGGCATGAGCTTAATACTACAAGTCTAGTGGGCTCTTGGTCAGGATTTCATTCTGCATGGACAGAAATATACTGAAAAGTTAAAAATATCCTGGCTATTGTGTGAAGAATATACAAAAAAATGTCAAAATGAAAACAAGAAGATCAGTGAGGAAGCTGCTCCCTTGCCAGGCTGAGGGAGATGATGATAGTTAGATGAGAGTCGTGGTACTGAAGGGAATGAGAAGTTTGAGAGTGCGAGTTAGAGAAAAGAATAAAGAACCCTTCCATGGGTTTCCTCCTGAATGGTGGTGTCAATTACTGAAGTAGGAACCACTAGGCAAGATTTAAGTTGTAGGTAGGGGCAGCTCGGAAGAGTCAAGCTGGGACATGTTGGGTCTGAGATGCCTATTGTACTTCCTGGTAGAGTCAGATGCACGTACTAGGTCACATTTCTGGATCAAGTCTGGGCTGATGATGAAAAACCAGAAATCGTCAGCACTGAATGATATTTCAAACTTGTTCTGATAGCACAAAATTAGGGAAAGTGAATATATCCTGGGATGATCAGAGATTCAGAATTTGAAAAGCAAAAGGTGCACAAGAAAAGAACCTGAAAAAAATCATCCAGTGATTCAGGGAGATGGGGTGGGGAACGCTCTTAAGATTTTTCCTGCAGCACGTTCCAGGTGAATTCAAGCTTCACTTTTAGTGGAAATAGGGAGACAATTTGCTTTCTAAGAACCCAGCATGAAAAATTTATATGCAAAGGGTCTTTGGCTCTATAAACACAAAGAAGGAGAAGGAAAGAATTTTGAATTCCAGAGCTCAAGGGACAGAAAAAAGGAAAACAACCTCACAGGCATCTACTTTACTACCCTCTCCAGAGACAGAGCATTTAAATCCTGAGAGATAAAACAGGTAGGTGCAGAGGCCAGTCAGGCTTATTCCAGGGCACACACTGTGAAAGACTGAACTTCAGTGCTGCCTCAGGCCTAGGAGACCAAGCTATCAAGCTATCATTTGTGCACAGAGCTGGGCACTGACAATATCCACCTTCCCAAAGACACAAGCAGTTCACAGAAACCACAGCAGAAATACCACACTCTCTTATAAGGAATTCCTGTGATGTATGCGATTTCACAGCTTATCCAGAAAGGGACTCAAATTTTAGAATTCAGTTCCTATCCAGTATATTTTATTCCCATCATACAACCCTGCCAAACCACCTCCTTCTCATAGATTCTCTACCACAGGCATATGCGATACAACTGACCTGTGTTGAAGAACGATCCAGTCCACTCTGCCTCAGTTTTAGGAAATACAGAAACTGGTGGAGGCAGGCCCAGTGCTGTACCATCCAGATCCTTGAAGAGATATTTTCTGGGACTTTCACATTCTGGTTCAAGGCAGATCACTCTTTCTAAGTCTTGCCTATGAAGAAAGAGAGTTTCATTTCACAACAGACAGAAAGAAGAAAGCATATCGGTAGTACTGATCTTACATAAAATAAATTCAACAGGATTTTACTAACCATGTGTTACATAAATGTAAAATACTTTTTTCCCAGTTATATGGTGTGTAAAAAAGACAATTTTATTAACCAATACGCTAGACATCTGGATATATAAACTTTATATAGGGCTGGGGATTTAGCTCAGTGGTTCCAGCACCTGCCTCGCAAGCACAAGGTCCTGAGTTTGATCCCCTGTAGCAAAAGTAAATAAATAAAATAAAATAAACTTTATAAAGATTGCTGATTTTTCTAAGGAGTAAAGAACAATAAAATGTTCTTGATTCCAATAGCTGATAAATATAATAATTTACTTATGGAACTTCATGGTTGTGCAGTATTTTAGGACTACCCTGATACATATCAGTTTTGTTTGTGCTAGGTTCAAAGTAAAAATAAATATCCTTATTCAACAAATATCTATTGAAATCCTGCTGCTGACAGGTTGGGGAATGCAGGGCTGATGTAGATTTGCATGGTCCCTGCCTTCATAAAATTTAGAGTTAAGTGGGATATATAAACAAGATTACATAGGTAATTATAACATATAATTTATTTGATTTCTCCTGATCTAGTACTTTCAGGTACCACTAGTAGTAATAACATTAAATACTTTTGTATGCCAACTACCTATTAGGTATTAATAATACAAAGAGTCAACCACTAATACCATGTAGCACTATAGTTTGAATGCTGGTGCTCCTCCAAAATAAAAGTTAAAACTTAATACTAAAGCAAAAGTATTAAGAGGTGTGGCCTTAGGGAGATGATTAGGTTGTGAGGATATACACATAGATGGGATCCGCATCCTTATAAAAGGACTCAGTGTTGAAAGAAGTATTTTCTGCTCTTATCTCCCTTTTACCAAGTGAGGATGTAGTGCTTCCCCCCTGAGAAGGATGAAGCAGGCACCAATCCTCACCAGATACCAATCATGCTAATTCCTTGATCCCTAGACTCCAGAACTATAAGACTTAAATCTCTGGTCTTTATAAACTATTCAGTCTATGTATTTTGTCATAGGCCCACAATCTGACTAAGACATGTAGCTTTGCAACAGCCTTTAAGTAATACAGGAATAGAGATAGCACTGAACAGTCGAAAGAAAAATGAGAGGAGAATACAAATTGCATAAGTAACTGTGTTGAGGGACCTAAAATGGTCCTGAAATGGTCATCAGAAACAGGATAGGTTGTGTTATATCAAACACATAAACTTCCTAATGGGATGGGAAGGGTCTTTAGAATCTTTTATTCTAACCAAAATAATTTTCTCCAGTGTTGTGGGAAAGCAAAAGTAACTCATTTCCCTGCTCATCATGTTCCCACATTTTTAAGGGAAAAGGTCCATATCTAGTTTTAATATCCTTGAATAAAGCTCTCAGGTTCTACATCCAAGAATGGTAGTTACACTTGGTCTGAATGCCAGCATCTATTCACATTCTCTTGTGTAGCTCCCAAAGTCCTGGCAACAGACACACATTTCTTTTCTCTACTCACACTGCACAAGGTTTTCAAGGCCCCTTCAGACAACCAATGATACTGTCCTCTATGAGAGAGAGAAGAAATAAGGTAGATATGTTTTCAGGGACTTTAAAAATTCTTCCCAAATGTATAATTAAGAGAAAAGGTATCAATAAAATTTTACTCTATAACTTCTGTGCTTTATTTTTTTAGCTCAAGTCAGCGGGCTGAGTTCAGATTCATCTGGAAGAAAAATAGCCTCTGCTTCATAAAAGATATTTCAAATATCACATAAAGGGTATGTCTTTCATTTACCTTTCTTATTGCTGAGACAAAATACCACACACCCAAAGTTAAAGGAGAAGAGATTTATTTCAGCTCACACTTTGTAGATGTTTCAGTCCATAGTTGACTGGCTCCAAGGCAGGGTGGCATAGCAGAAGGACATCGCAGAGGAGAAATAAATAGTCCATGGCAGAGCAGGCAGGAGATAGAAAAGCAGCAAGCAGCAGCAGTAGCAAGCCTGCCTTCTCTTTCTCCCTTTACTATAAGTTATATCCAGGTTATAAGCCTATTGCTTAGTGCCATTCACACCCAGAACTATGCTAATTCCAATCAGTGGACTAATTTAGTACCTCTCAGTATCATATGCCTAGATCCAGCTGCTCTGAAAAGCCCCGCCTATGAGCACATGGAGCTTTGAGGGAACACATAGATACAAGCCATAACAGCATGAATATAGGAAAGGAAAATGATCAGGGCCATTAAATCAATATAGAATTCCATTCTATAAGAATTTACTTTTATTCTTTTGATTATTTTATTTTTTTAAATGTTTAGGAATTTAAAGAATTGCCAAACATTTCATAAATATGAATTTTTATCAGTACTAAAAGTGGTACCTTGGGTGCAATGGAAGAAAATAGAATTTGTTCTTATCTCTCATCTTGAGCATCCTGGTCCTCTCTGCTATTATTGGATGAACCATTCCAGTGCTCTCTGGATTTGGCAGGATGCAGATATCCAGGTCATCACTGTAGCAACTTTTCACAAAACTAGAAAAAGTGACATCTGAAAATTTTAAAAATTATAACAATGTTACATCATGAAACCATCAACTACAAAGACAGATAAAACTAAATATTCTTAAATTGTATGTTCAAGAGTCACCAAGAGTCAGTGTGTACTATTCAGGATAGTACAGGAGTTTACATAAATCTTGATATAAAATATCTGAATTTCAATAATACATGGACATTGTATGCAAAAGAGAAGAGAGTTCTAACACATTAAAGCTGTCCGAGTAATATTTTTCATTAAAGACCTGATTTAAAAAATCCACTCACTCTACATAATCAAGCCAACTTCCAGATAGACTGGAATGAGGAATGAATCAGGAGTGAGTTCAGTACTACCAAAAGGATTTGACAGCACTACACAAATTGTGGTAAAACTTTGAATGCTGACCTAGATGCCCAAATAGCTATCAGACAACCTCAGATGAAGCACATTTTTTGCACCTCACTTTCTTCACTTGTATTACAGCAAAAATAACACCAATTAAGAGAGTTGTCATATAGTGAAGTTTAAGAATTGTTATGAATCCTAACATGTATAAGGCAGTGATGTAATCATTCCTTGTCATTTATAAACTACCATTGGTTATCAAGAACAGCAGACTGTCACTTTGAGCCTAAGCACTAAACCACACTGTACCTTTTAGTTGGCATAATTTCAGAATGCTGATAAAAATTCCATGCATGGGTGTATGAAACCATGTTGCTTGCATATCCTACCTTGAAGTTTCATGATTCCTGAAACTGAACGATGATTCCTTATTTTGTGCCATGGCTCCCGAGGCCACTGATTTTGTACTGTGGTGAATACAGGCCACAGCATACCAACTCGGCCTCCTTTTGGGTTGGGAGGTGCTCGATCTGCTGATGTCAAGTTGGCTGAGTGAGGCTTTATTTTGTCCAGAATACAATCAAAAGAAGAGCTGGTGGCCACAATGACTGAGTTCCTAAGGACAATCTGCACATTTTTGATGGAGTGCTGTGGAGTAGATGACACGTGCACTACTGCCAAAAGGCCAACAGAATTGTCTATCAGAGTGATGTTCTCTATCTCCACAGTATTCTCTATCTGTATCATGGCACCATAGTCAAAGTTCTTGAAAGCCAGGAAGCCAGCGATACTAGTACAATTGTCAGGCCCACTTTTCTTATAGAGATGAAGGCCATGAAGGTTTGAGTGGGCCACATTGTCAGACCAAAACACTTTAGAGGAGCACCTTTGCCCCTGTATGTGAAAGCCAAGTCTCTCGGATCCTGCCACAACATTGCCATGAAGGAGAATATCCTTTGCCTGATTTACTTTGATCCCTGCCACCCAAGTGGTAGACCACACTGCCTGTGTCATCAGAACTACAAGGTTATTAGTAAGAGAATAGGCTTCACCCTCCAAATCAATGCCATGGCCAGCTGTACCAAACACTATATTTTCATTTAAAATTATTTCATAACTGGCAGATGCGTGAATGCCCCCACCACAGTTTTGGTGCAGAGTGGAAGATAAGATCCAGGATCCTGATGATACATTAGTGAATTCAATGGATGAATACAATGGTGAACCAAAGTTCTGAATTTCCACATTTAGAAATTGAAGAACACCTACAAACAAAATGCATGTCATCAGATATTTGATATTTTCTTCTTTCCTACATTAACACAAAACAGTCCATTTTAAGACCAGAAACTACAGATTTTTAAATTAAAATTTACAAGTTAATACTAAGCACTAGGACTATATTACACATCATAAATTCTCAATAAAAATATGAATCACTGGAAATATCCACATTAATACCTAAAAATATTTCACGGGTAGTCTAAAGTATCTGGTATAGGAAGGGGAGAGAGGAGAGTAAAGACAGAGAAAAGAGAAATTTTGGAGATTAGCATATGTATTAAACATTCTGTGAATTTGTCTGAGGGTTGGGTTAGCACTTGTATAAGAATAAAGTTAACATGGATTCCTTGGATACCTCAAAGTCAAGGATCCTTCTCTGTCTCACTGACCTCACTCTAAAAGGCCATAGCCATCTCCACAAAGATACTGCATGAATGAATACGACGGACAACTCTTTAAAACATTCCAATCATTTCTTAAGAGGAGTATAAGGGCAAAATTTACTTCTGCCCAACTGGTGTCCATTAACAGGATATTTATATTTGTTTATTCATGAAACATGATAGAAGCCATAACAAATTCAAAATCATTTTAAAGACACTATAAAACTTCTTCTATATTTTTCTTCTAGCCATACTATATTCTCTGCTTTTCCATATTAATAATATTTTCTACAGCTTTTATATCAGCAGAGAGAAAGTGTATTATTTAATCTCATTGGGATTTTGTTTGTACTTTTTAATGTAGATATTGTTACAATAGAATAAAATGCAGCTAGTATGTTGATTTTAAAATATAAGTGAATATTAGTAAGTCAGAATATTTATATATATATCTATATATATATATATTCCTGAAATAAATAATTATATAACCACAGGTGAATTAATATGAATTAAGAACTACAATACTGAGCTCTTTATAATGCTCATTTTATGCTAAGCCTTGTTCTAAATCATAGGGTGTACTTTAATTTCCACAAAAATCCTATGGGGTCTGTACAACTAGTATTTCTATTTTGCTGAAAGGAAACTGTGGCAGAAAAGAGCTAATTACCAAACTAGGACTTGGCCTTCCATATGGATGGGAAGCTGTACTGTTAACCTCATGCTGCCATGCTAGCAAGGTTAGGAGCCTTTGTAGTATAAAGCGAGTGACTCTGCAGCAGACTTAAGTAACTGAGCTATCACCATGTGCCGATATAGGTAGGGTCACAGTTTGGGACCTCATTTCTTTTGTTGTTGTTGTTGTTATAGCTTTTTTGTTTGTTTTTGTTTTTGTTTTTAGGTTCTGACAATGGTAAAGTATACAGCTACTTCTCAAAAAAATGGGGGACACTATACACCTGAACTTTAAATTTCCCTGTTTTAATAATTGTATTTAAAGTTCAGTGCTGGTCCAGCCCAAAACTGGCAGCCATGAAGAAGCAAGCCCTGTGGGGGGGCAAAAAAAAAAAGCATTTGTGTCTCTTTATGACTGAACAAAGGAGTTTCCTCATATCTATTTCTCAGCTGACACTGATTGAGGAGGTACTGGGACATGGTGTAGAATATCCACAATGATGAAACATCCATAAGATGTTTAGCAATATCCCTTGCCAATGGCACATACTTGAAATGTCTGTTGAACCTGACCTTTGTATAAAACTCTGGCACAAAGGGCAACAAATGTAAGAAGGAGTCTATACAGATATAGTTTATTTTCTATTATGAGTGGTTGTTCTAGCATCTCAGTTAGGTATTATATCAGCATTATTTGAATTTTTAATGTCTTATCATTATATAGTTATAATTCATAATTTTAAATTGTTCAAGATCATTTTAACTCCATGCACATTAATCAAGGGCCAAAACTAATTATAGTAAATACTTTAAAATATCTTGGGCATTTAAATGAAGACCTAAACAGTGATTTTGTTCATAAATACTTTTCTATTTTTCCTTTTGAATGTACAGTTCTGAAAAAACTTCTATTTGGATGTTATTGGCCAGAAGGAGGATCATGATGGAGCATTTCAGTATAAAAGTAGGAAGTGACCTGGCCTACTTTTCAGCTGTATAACTAATCAACTCCTATGGATGCATCCCTGACTGACACCTGCATTTCCAATCTCATCCAGGCTCTAACATATATCATTGTTTTTAAACAGCAAGACTTCTTAAGGCAGTGTGGAAACTTAAATTGTATTTGAACAGTAGTGGAAATAAGTACAAACATGATTTTAATTAATATTATTGTATCAACATTGTTTGCTTGGTTTTCACATATTAACAGTAGAGGAAACTTGGTGAAAGACATAAAGGGATTCTCCATACAATCTTTGCAACTTTTCTATAAATCCAAAATATTCAAAAGTAAAAGTTTATGTAACAAAAGTTTCAGAGTTAGGCATGAATCTGATATTTACTGGTTAGAGGACTTATTTTCCTCTCCATTAATTTTATCCATTCATATTTACTGAGCACCTAACAAGTGGTAGTCATCATACTAGAAAACAGATGAAAGATCTAACATTACCCTCAAGGATTTCAGAAGTTAATGAAGGCGTTATGTATTGTCATATAGATTTTGATTCCTATAACAGGAATATAAGACATTTCTCTCACAGAGATAACAGGATTAAATAAGACAAAATTTCCACTGTGTAACAATTGGCATAGTTTTTGGTCATTAAGATGCATTTAATATACAATAGCTACTTTTTCCTTTTGCCCAGGGATAATTTTAAAAGCCCTAGATTAGCAGCAGTATTGGAAGATTAAGATCAAGTCAGTAGTCAGTCTCACTACTATATAACACTGTCCTGATGCCCAACTCTTAAGAGTTAGCTTTAGTCCTGTCCCTGTGATCTTTTCCAGCTTGACCTACAGTTCCAGTTAACTGGGGCCCTCTGTTGCTCTCACCTCCCTTACCCTCCATTTTCATGGACCGTCTCATTTGTATAAGATCAGACACAGCCTTTGTCTTAGTCTTGTACAGTAGGATTTCTCAACCTGATCATTATGGACATTATTGACATTTTGAGCCAGATAGTCCTTTTTTGTAGGTGGCCTTCTTGTGCATGGTAAGATAAATGCCAAACATCTCCCAAGACCTGACAACAGGAAATTCTCAAAGGATTGCTGATTGTCTTCTAGTGGACAAAATCACCTCTGAAAAAAAATTATGAAGCTAGAGCTTATGGAGAGAGAGACAACTTGCTCTACAAGCTTATGATTTAAGATCCAAACACTGCCTTTGTTGACCTGGTGAAAGAGATGTGCCAACAAAATGTCCCATGCTAAATATATTTGGGAAGTAGTTAGATCCTTATTCCAGGCTTTCTGTGAGCTTTCATGATATTTGTGTACATGATGACTTTTTAAGATGGAGTTACAGTGACAACCTTTCCCCAACTATTTGATCAGGAAGCAAAAACATTTTGAATAATGATTAAGAAACATAAGTTTAAGAAATTCGGTCCTAATAAAAAAACACAGTATTCCAAGAGAGCTAAAGCTTGAAAAAGCACTCCAAAATGTGAAAACCATTTTTATTTAAATTCAAGCCATTAATTTATAGCATGAGCTGATATCTGCCATCAGATACAGCATGCTACTGGGAAAGGGTAATAGAAATTTAGGAATGAGGTGAAATTCAAATGGTCATTAAATCATCTATAATTTCAAAACAGGAAATTTTACATCTGCTGAAGATGTTTTCTTTGAGGTAAAAATGTATGTATGTGCTAATCTAAATTTTATTTTTTTAACATCACACTGATAAGCTCAGATTAGAGCTGAAAATTTACAGCTTCTTATAACACAAAGGCACCGTAATCATTTGAACACTTTGTACTATAAGTAAAAGTTCTCAGAGTTGCAATTTCTGAATGTCCCAGATGTGTAGACACAAATTGGTAATGTTTAGGGATTTAAAATTTCATTTACCTGAAAATTCTTCTCTAGGAGACTTCCTAAAGGACCCCACAAGAAGTGTCCCACTACATGATGTGTCCAGCTGGATTTGTATATGCCGGGTCAACAGTCCAACTTCAGCAGCCAAATGAATGTGTCTGCCATCCGCCATGACATGGGGACTTCCTGGGGCAGCAGGCGTTGAGAGAAAAAAATCTTTAAAAACCTGTCTTGGAAAGTGCTAGCTGGGGACCACTACATCTCACAAATGAAAATATTCCTTTCCCCTTGGAAGTCCTACCAACACTAAGGTCTGCTTTTCCTCAGGCATTCTCTACAAATGGCAGCTGAGAAATGAAAAATCTGTTCACTTGTCTCTCCTTGGGATCAAAGTGAATGTTTGAGCAATAATTCATTTCTTCTCAATAACGGTGGGAACTGGGACAGGCTACTGTGCAGAGCAGTCAGGGCAGAACTGTGCAATTACTGGGGTCCCCAACCTCCTTCCTTAAGCCTGTCAGTGTTAGGCAGTGGTATTTGGCTACACATTGTCCATGGGCCTCCTTCCTGACAGTGAGGAATCCCACCTGAGCTAAAGCAGCGACACTGCAGAAGCAGCCACGTATTAGTAAGACAAAAGGAGCAGCGCCAAGCAGCAGCAGCAGCGCCCTCTCATGGTGGGTCACAAATGCTCCACAGCCAGAATTGGGGTCCACAGCAGGAGAGGAAAGGGCCTTGCTCCTTGTTTGTCTCATGGACTCCATTAATATTTTATTTTGGCTCTTACTGGCAAAGACTTCTCTGTCATATTTTTGTTTTATTGTCAGTAGTAGGGATTAAACCCACAACTTCATATGTTTAGCAATGTTCTACCACTAAGCTACACGCTGGGTCAGGATCTTGCTATGTTGCCCAGACTGGACTTAAATGTGCCACCTTCCTGCCTCAGCCTCCAGAGTAGCAGGGCCTATAGCAATGCACCACCATGCCAAGCTCTGTGTCACATTTTCATAAGTGAAATCAATGTGGAAATGGTGGCCTATGCCAGTAGGCCAACTAGTCAAGAACCCGAGAGAGGAGGTCTGCTTGAGCTCTGAAGTACAAAGCCATTGAACAGCA